TAATTAATAGGTTGAGCATGAAATATTTTTCGTTTTACATAAAATTTTATTTTGTTTTGTTTTTCAAACTTGCAAGTAGCATTAACTCTGAATAGACTACACGTTGTTCTATGCATCATTAATACAAAATTAAAATATTATTATGTTCTTAAACTTGGGATAATAAAAGATTATCCATCGGTGCCTCAAGAGTGACGCGTTTTAATATTTGGTTATCGAGACTATCAACTTAAATATTCAAAAAGAAAAATTAATTAAAATTTATCATTTTATAATCCAATATCCGATATATATTATATTATATATATATATATATATATATATATATATATATCTAGTAATCTTGTAGTTTATGGAATTTTTCAACTTTTAATAATCCTCAAATAAAAAAACTACACTAAAGTTTCTCCTACCCTTTACATTTTTCAAAATAAAATTACTGGAAAATTTTGAATTGAATTCCATCTTAAATCTCAAATCACATAACACAATTATAATTTTTTAATAATAGTAACTGAATTTCATTGATAAAAAAATAGAATTATAATGCACCTAAATATAAAGAAAAAAAATAGAAATAATATACCAAAAAACTGATAAAAACAAAAAATACTAAATCCAAAGAAAAGAAGAAAAACAAAACCAATCCCTTGAGAATGAATACTAAAATTAAAAAATCTAATATTCTTCATAAAAACTTTTTATAAACTTTTAAAAAGAAAAAATTATAGAAATAAATTTGATGTTTTAAATTAGAAGTTATCATTATAATAACAAATAATAATTGAATAGACTATTATTAGACTTATTCGTTATAAAATGCAATCAAATTAATATTTGAAATGCATTTAAAAATTATTTACGTATGATGAAATTTGAGTAAGAATAAATCTAGAGATAACCAAAATATAATTTACTATATAAAATTTAAACCCAGATATTTTAAAAAAAAAAAATCAAAGACTATATAATGATTTTTAAAACATGTCTGGATCACCTGACAATTTTTAGAATGTCATCTGCTACCGTTATTTATGTTATCGCATATGCATAAAGCCTGAAGAAGATGTCCTACACTCTAAATAATTTTTAGAAGTTGTCGTCGTATATTTAAAGTGATTTCCAATAAGAACTATAACGAAAACTTTATAAAAAATAACTTTTCATTCGCTCTATATATTAAATTTTCTTTCAAACGCATTATTTAAAAAAATTTCCATTTATAATGAATATTGGTACTTATCATATCTACTTTGTGTTTGAAAAAAACGAAGAAAAAGACGTTGGTGATGAGTGATCGATTAACATGATTTAAAATCTTAATTAACAAGTATGTCTCATTGATTCAAACACTGAAATATATTAAGAAATGGATCAGGGGCTCGTACTACGAGCACAGCTGCATGTAGCTCCAATGTGTTTGGTTTAAATGCCTATGCTTTCGTCACCTTAATCCGTTTTCAATAAATTAATAGTGTTTATTACTCCGTAGTTTGTAAAACTTTGGGGTTTGAAAAAGGTTTAGGGTTGGCATTGATCCTATAAACCTTTTATTATGACATCTCGATGTGATCCTATAAACCTTTTTATATGACATCTCGATGTGATTAATGGGTCTATCTGATTTGAAAATTCAAAAAAAAAAAATCTATAAAAATATAGGCTTTGGCATTTTGGAGTTCTAAGAGATGGGATAAATGGGGTTTGAATCCTTAATCACGTGATTAGCACTTTCTTCAAAATCCAAGTTTGTTTTATGTTATCGTAGTGTCTTTGGCATTTTGTCATTCAAGGTGTTCTCGCAAAAGAGCTGACTACAGGTGAATCCTTTCAAATGACAGCTATTATTGAAAAACTTATTTGCTTGGAATGACGTCGAGAACAATCTTAGCATAAGAAAAAGAAAACGATAGTGAAAAAATCTAATTGTCAGACTTCATATTCAAAGAGACAATCAAAGAGCAGCTAAGAAGTTAAACAAAACGGATAATTTTAATATTGCCAAGACAAACGTGATGGAAGTCAAGAAAGACTTCAAGGAAAGAAACAATCTATGACTGAGTGTAAATTAGGATCAAAAGATGACGTTTTAAAATTTTAAGAAAAATGCTTTAATTGTAGGTTTGTAAAAAGGTTCAAAGCAAATGAAACTAATGGTGAGACATTAATTTTTAAAGAAATATTTAAATTTGACCTTTGTGTCGTGGTCTTTGAACTTAACTTGATTAATTTAAATTTAAGAAGTAATAATTTAATATTGGTGTCACACACTCTGTTTTAAAAAACCGGATCGACCGGCCGATTCAATCGGTTCAACCGGGAATCGTTGCTTAATCCATTCAATCTAAACCGGTTGAACCGCTATTAGTGAACCGGCCAGAACCGTTGAACCGTTCGAACCGGACTGGCTGAAAACTGGAAAAAACAGGAAAAACAGGAATTTTTGTTTTTTGTTTTTAAAAAAAAAATTAAACCAAACAACGTCGTTTGTTAAACGAGCCAAGTCGAACTCGAGTATTGCTGAGCTCTGAAGTGAAAGAATAGTTATATAATTATAGTTATATAATTTTGTTATGATTTTTAACCCCAAATTTATTTTTTAATTATAGTTATAATTATATTTATTATTTAATATGTTTACCGGTAGCATGACCGGTTCACTAACCGGTCCGGTTCTGAAAACCATGGTCACACATATATTTGCGATAGGATTATATGGAGAACCTCACGCTTCAGGCGTAGACATTGCTCAATTACATGTGAACCTGTTGTGCATCCTTGTAACATTTCGTGTACCTATTAATTATAGTTATATAATTTTGTTATGATTTTTAACCCCAAATTTATTTTTTAATTATAGTTATATATTATTTATTATTTAATATGTTTTACCGGTAGCATGACGGTTCACTAACCGGTCCGGTTCTGAAAACCATGGTCACACATCATATTTATTGCGATAAGGATTATATGGAGAACCTCACGCTTCAGGCTAGACATTGCTCAATTACATGTGAACCTGTTGTGCATCCTTGTAACATTTCGTGTACCTATTCGATTATGCACCGCAATACTTTATATGTCAATATTTGTATCTCAATTCTCAAACAGATATATATTCTATTTATATATATATAATAAGGAAGCAAATCATTAGAGAACAAAGTTTTAATTAAATTGATGAACCCATCAAATGATTTTAGGATTAAAGGGATTATCATTCTTTCAAACATCCTGGATTCAAGTAGTTTTATCTATGAGTGTGTGCGTGTTGTAATGTTTAAGAAAGATTCAGAATAGATATGCATTATAATCAACCTAAGCTATTAAAAACCAACACAGTCAAATTGATCGTTTTGTATAAAGAATGGATTCCTTTCAAAAGAAGAAACAACTACTTCACGGAGAGGAGCTTTCAAGTCTTGAAACACATTCATATAATGTATGCCACGTACATTTATCAAGTGAGAATGGTGTTAGTGCTTCATTTAATGTTTTCCGATTTATCTTTAATTGTTTGAAATCCATGGATGAATCCTTCGAGAAAAGGGATTAATACGAGTATCATAGCCAAAAGACATTTCCAATGTAATTAAAAAAATCAATTGAAATTGAAGTTAAACGTATTTATAAAAAGCTTCATTTCTAAAGAATTAAAGGAAGCTAACCTCATTCAAGACACTTTGAAAGGGTGTTAAATATTCTTTAAGAATTTTGGAAGAATTTTCCCTTTTATAAAAAAAAAAACTTTCCTAAAAAATATATTTTGTAATTTTGAAAAAAATATCAATTTTAATTACATGTTATATTTATTTTCTCTGTGCAATAACTTTCCTTAAAAGAATTACATGTCAAATTTAGCCGAAAGCCTAAAAAACTAATGTTAAGTCCGGGATAGTCACGAGATTTGAACTCAACGGATTTTGACTGATTCGACTTGATTAGATTGATTTTTTTAAAAAAAATTAAGTTTGAATCGGTCGGATTGAGTCTAGGGTGAAAAATATCCAACCCGACCAAAAAAAATATAATTATGCCATATATATTTAAGGATAATTATAATAATTCCTTATTTATATTATTTTTTACGATTATATTTATTTTTTACGAATAAAATAAAAATATTTTCTAAATATATTTATTTCGGATTTGATCAGATTGAAATCAATTTTTATCTAAAGAAGCGGGTTCGATTTCGGTCGGATGAAGCCACTCTAACATCAGGTCAAGTCGAATTTCGGATAGATAAGTTATATTTTCGAATCGAGTTGGTAAAAAATCCTTCTCAACCGACCCATACCCATCCCTAATTAAGTCTAATTAGTCCAAATCTAGGATGAAGTCCAAGTTCAATAACCTTTTATAACTCTCATACTTTATCAAGTCTTGTAGTTTAGATAAAAGAAAGTTTCTATGTAATCTGCCTAAGTTTAAGTTTTAGAGGCATATAAATAGGTACTCTTATAAGTATTCTACATCATTCAGAAAATTAAATAATTTTTTTTAAAAGATTCTCTTTGTAAGTTATTTTCTTTTGTTCAAGATTTTCATTATTTTTTCTTGCTTTCAAATGTGAGCCTTCCATTACGTTACGTCTATTATTTAACATTTAATCCACCATCTAGCTTGTTAAAGGCGTTGGATCCTTAGAAGGTTAGACGTCAAATAATCTGCATATAATAGGAATTCTGAAAACTATAACAACCTATGTTTCGGGGTCTATATATTTATCACCTTTCTTTTAAGCTTTACAATCGGATCCTTGAAGTGTTATGGTGCAAAAAAGGATAAAGGTCATAAAGTAGGAATACTTTTTAACTATGATTTGAGGAAAAGGCAAAGCATTTCAGTTTGTGGTGTGTTCATAGAGTGCAGATTTTAAAATTGAATCCAAGGATTTGCAGTTCTAAACAGCAGGAACTAATCCAGATGAAATTATATCTCAAAAGTTGTATTAACAAAATAGTCAATGATGTAGAAATTATCAAGTTTTTCATTTCGTTTCATGTATACCAGAAAGGATCAAAATTACAAAATTTTTCATCCGCAAATTCGATTTCTTTTCCTTATAAGTTTAGAAACATGAGCAATTGTGCATAGATTCTAATAATTCGATTTGCTGTAAAAAAAAAAAACTAAGAGATGAAGTTTTAGTTTGTACTGGAAAAAGAGGAGGCCTGCAACTTGCCAAAGTTGTATGTTTAAAGCCACCCCCATATGCTTGATTTTCCTCTTGTGATGCCGTTCTTTCTTGGCAAATTGTTGTATGTTTCTAACGCTGGACACGCGTAAACGACTGAGATTTTCCCTGGAAATCTTTGAAAGACCTCTCCTGCAAATTAATCACTCAAATCTGTAAGGCTTAATCAACAAAGATGTATTCAACAACCTTCATGTTTAATATTAATGCATCGACTTACTTGATTGGAGTTGAGCCATGAGTTCTGATAGTTCATATAAAGGTCCATTAGAATTAGTGGAAGTTGATGATGAAGACGAAGATGCATCGTCTAACATGTCTGATATTGAAGAACAAATGTTGAAGAATCCTCCATGGATGTGATGATGATTTACAAGTTAAAGTTTCATCATCATCGTTTCCATGTTCGTCCATTGATGATCTCCTTTTCTATCATTCTGATGATGATGATGATCGACAAAGCCTGGGACTCGAACAATTCTTTAATATCATCTTCTTCACCCATTTCTGATAACTATCGAACAAGAAAAATTTCAACTAATGGAACACATGAAGTTGAAACCTGAAGAGGGTTTATGTTTATATAAAGAAATAAGGGATTAGGTGGTTTTTTTTCTTTATAAAAAAAAAAAAAGAGGATAATGATTCCATGACAGCAAATACACAAATTTTCCGTGTTGTTCAAGGGGACAAAAAGAGCTGTTTCATGCAACATGCTAAGATAACATACTCATCTGCGTGTGGAAGTCTACATTCATTATGGATATAATTTATGTAATAATGATAACAAATTATTTGCTTTTCATATAAATATCAATTTTAAATATCGCCATAAAATAAATATATATTTGTATTTAGAGTTATATCTACTCATATTTAGGGTCCCAACAAACATTTGTAGGGTGTGTACGTTGTTAATGATTAAGAGAGATTATGAACATATACTAATTTATAATCATCACATACTATTCAGAAAGATAATTGAGTGAAAAATGACGACGTGATTTATTTATTCAGTGAATATCTTATCATTTCATATTGTTAATTTTAACCGTTTATTTCATTCGTACAATGATCCTAAAAAAGCACAAATTAAACAATCTTAGTGATGAAATAGATGGTTTTATCTTAGAGAGGTTCGAGCATGACGTATGTAAGAGGTGTTTTGAATATTATTTCCAAATAATTAAAAATCTTTCGAACATATACCAAACTAAAGTCTATATATATTAATCGAGTAATTAATTATTTTATGATTATAATAGAAATTTAATGATAATGAATAACGTAAAGAGGGTTGGATGAAATTCCATGCACCTTGCTAGTTTGCTTAGTTAGATGGGTCATTGTCAAAAAGTAATGGCGCCCTTCCATTTATTTAATAAAGTGGATGGCCCTTCTCCATATATTCGACATTATCTTTCTTTTTATTTTCTGAATTTATTCTCAGAATAAAAAATGGATAAGTTCGTTGCCTTTCAATTTCAGAGCCCAATCCTCAGTGACTCACCCTCTCGTAATCATTAACCACACACCTTTTCTATTTCTTTCTATTTGAAATTTTCCATTGAATATTAATTATTGCACTTTTATTTCGTCAAAATCGTGTCAAATTGAACTTCAACCCTCTATAGTATTTTTTATTTTATTTAGTTCGAAGGTAAAAAGATGAGAAAAGCTGAAGATTTAATTGGAATATAAAATTATTAAGAGTAATTTTTATCATTATAAATCAGATTAATAAATTTTATAAAATTTAAATATGCCATATCAATTACTTAACGTATGTGTCATTATCTCATTAAAAATCAATTAAATATTTAAAAAATTATTGATCTTACTTTTTTTTTTCTAAAATCAAGTGACAAAAAATTATCTTTTTGTTTGTCTAGTCCAATAACTGAATGCAGTTCACTTTAATAAAATGATTAAATTAGATTGAGCATTCACTTGACATAAATGAAATAAAATATAAGGAATTAGTGAAAATTTATAATATAAGGGTTTAGTATGTAAATTTCTTCTGTTTCAACTCCCTAGATAGGTGGTATGATATTTGACATGCTTCGTTTGATTGATCGACTCCATTCGCTAATGCATTAATAAATTAAAGTATACAAGTGTAAATAGGGATGGGTAGGGAGGGTAGTCACAATTGTTTTTTTAATTAAAAATTATTATATTTTTAAATTTTGTATATATTTTTTATTAAAAGTATGCGTTTGTTGACTCATAGAATTTTAAAGCTTGTCTATTAAAATTTTTAAAATTTTGTTTTTTAACATAAAATCCTACTGTCACTGAGTTTAACATCTTATGTTGGAATTAAATAATGAAAATATATATATATATATATATATATATATATATTTATAGATAACCTAACGTCAGATTTGATATTATATTTATTAAATATAATAAAATTAAGGTTTAATGAATAAATAACGGTACAAACTTAATTGAATATTTGTAATAATATAAGGGCTTATTTGTCATTTTTCCAATTTAAATCCGCTAGATAAGTAGTACAATATTTGACATGTTTTTTTAATAGTACAGAATAATTATAATATAATCTATTTATAATCTTTTTTAGTTATTTATAACTCACACATCCTATAGACACATATGCTCAAACTTAAGACATCTAGAAATAATATCCCTTTAACTATTAAGATCGCTTGTTAAGCTCGACATGTTTTATTTGATAAATAGTATGATATTAAAGTTTAGAATATATTTTTCTCAATTAAAATAATATAATAATATTGACCCATGATCTCCCTAATCTAAATTATTAAAGATGTCCTCTCAGATAAAACCAATCCAAGTCAATTTTATAATCATACATCATCTAACATCAAATTTGATATTGTATTTATTATTATTACTATATAATACTCAAAATAATAACAATTTTTTTAAATTATGAATTCGAATGTATTTAAGTGTCATCCTTTTAAATAAGGTTTTTGAAAATCACGAGTTTGAATTCATCTCACAATAGTTGATTTAAATTTGGAATTCATCAACTAATCTTAGTGATTAAAAAGAATGTTATTCTTCCTAAATATCCTAAGTTCAAGTTGTTGTTTCTACGAGTATGCGTGTCTTACCAAATTAAAAAAGATTCTTAATAAATATATACAACCTTGTAATCATCTGAATTAATAAAAATTAACTTAAATTTTAGAAAATCATCTTATAACAAATTCCACCAATACCATAACATGAAGAAATCCAACAACATATATATTTTAGAGACTTGCCAAAATGAGAGAACAAAGGAAAAAAAGGCCTAGCAAAACCAGAAATCATTCGCATGATTTATTATCCTCACAATTCCAAAAGAAAAAAATTCAAAGCCGGTTCCTGGCCATGGAGGAGAAAGATGCAAAAGCCCAAAAGCAACAGGAAATCAAAGAGCTTGGGGGAGCGAGAGGTTAAGGCCTACATACCCTGATCAACAAGGTAATCACCCACCTCAACCACCATGTTGCACTGTCCGGGCGTCACCGGTTCTTCGTATATCCCAAAAATCAATGCTTGTCCTGTCTTCTTCACGGTCACACCACCAGCACCCTGGAAAGTTAATCATAATAATGAACACGTATGATCAGGCCGATTCAAAAAAAATTAGGATGAAAACATATATATTTCAGATAGAAATTTTGTATTTTAAGTGGACACAATATATTACATAATTAACAGAAGAAGAAAATCAGACTTCAAATCTACTATAATATGGAAAACTCATTCTACAAATTGTTTTCTAATTAACCCAACTTCAAAATATTATCATAAGCAATAACAAATAATTCAAATTCAATGATAAATGAAGAGTAACTTTGACCTTCTTCCCACGAACCACTGGCTCCCCTGGATCACCATGTACTTAGCGCCACCAAGGTGCAGCCCAGTTGGTGCCAGAGACCCAGGCATCAAAATCTTTCAAGATCCAGTGATCTCTTCAGGCTTAAACTGTTAACAAAAAGAGTGAAGATCGCAAGAAAATATGGTGTTAATAGATCCTGAGGAGTGTCTATCATGGATTTAAATTGTGATTGTAATCATGTTTGTGGTTACATTATATTTATCGTAGTTATAAACATAAATATTATTACGATTATTGTAGATATTTGTAAAATATATTATTATCGCAATTAGCTGCTATGTATTAAATTATGGTCACAAATTCGTAATTCATTGTTATCGGTATGATTCTGTTATTCTATTACCTACCGCTATTTAAGTCTCCAAGTGTATATGAAGAAGATTATGATGAAGAATTAGATGAGATGTGATGAGAGACCTTAGGAAAAGCAGAGCTCTGGGCCCAAACACTGCCGTCGAGACCGATGATAGCGGCGGCGGTCAAATGATTGCCGTTCTCGATTTCACACATCAAGTGCTCATCAACGTAAGTTTGCCACGACATTCTTGTTTGTTTCTTTAGATCAAAACTCAAAACACCCACAATTTTTAAATATCTTCTCAGCTTTTCCCAAAGGCCGAGCAGTATAAATAGCAGGGATTTGTGGTTTCAAACTGTGCACCCATGCAAAAAGGAGTTAATCGTGGGATGGAGCTGCTGACGTTCTGCCCATGGTCTTGCCACCTCATCATGCACGGATTTTTTTTCAAAACAACCCCTGAACTGGCCAATCCAATCCAACCCAATTAATTAATTAATTGCCTTTTTTTCTATATTTTATTTTATTTATTTAACAACTTGGACGTGTTATAAATCAAACTTTCTTGAATGAAATTATTTTTAAGAAATTATATATTTTCATGCGAAAATCAAATGATCACGTTAATTATACTCTTTTGCATATCTTATTTTGGATTAATTTCTTCTTCTTTTTTATCATTTTTCTTACGAATTACTAACAATAAACTCCTAACAGCTTTCCTAACTGACTCTACAACTAGCTGCATTCATTTATAAACATTACCGATGGCAAATAAACTCAGCTTTACATATCTCAACAGGCAGTAATCTCGCGACGAACGGCTTCATCATGAAAAAAAAATCATTACTTGGGATGAATCGAGGGATTCTATAAAGTATGAAACAGACTTTAAGAGTTTAATAATATGAATTGTTGGAAACCTGCAAAAGAGAAGCTAAACATGTGGTAAGCAATTAGCGTGGGGGGTGGGTTTCAATAGCACGCTTTGGGTTGAATCAAGGAGATGGCTGATTTGGACTCGCAAAGTCTTACAGACTACATTAAAAGAGTAAAGTGATCCCAATCACTACTTTCGGTCCCTTCATCTTAATCATAAGTGCTATAATTACAAAGCTTTTAGAGCTTTCAACTCTAGTTACAGAATCATGATTAAAGGATTTGGGATTATTTTCTTTTGCATGTTAATGATTAGTGATGAGTTATGAAGGGATGAAAAGATCATGGGTGGTGGATATGATTAGGTTTTAAGAAGAGACAACTATGTGTTGACTTGGGACCTAAGTTTTCTAGTGCCTTGACTTGTGACCTAAGGAACTTAAGATAATTTGCAGCTTCATCAAGCATTGATGCCGTATCCATCTTGTTCCCACCAGGGACCAGCCTCTGCAAAACCCTAATTCTCTCACTTATCCTTTCCCTCCTTTGTCTTGCAGCTACGGTTTGTGGATCAGTCGAGATCCTAACGTTCTTCCTCTTTGGTTTCTCCACCACTTCCGTGCCTAAGTTCACTGGCCTGAACGCTGCTGCTCGATAAATCATCTCTTTCATTTGCGCAATGGCCTCCGGATCAGGCTCATCCATGGAAGATGATGCTGATGAACAACTTGGAAGCTGAAAATTTATGTTGGATGAGCTTGGGACCGCCTTTTCTAATCTGGCTTTCTTTTCTTTGGGTTGATTCTCAGTGACGAGTTTGAAACCACTTTCTGTTGCAGAAGAACCAGAAGAAATTAACCAAAATTTATACCTACTTTGAACTCGTCATTGCCTCTCTTTGAAGAACCGGACTTCGTTTCCGATCTTTTGATGTTGTTGATGTATTGATCCGAAGAACTCTGGGACACCGTCTCGTTGCCGGTGTTTACACCATTGTTTGCCGACTCTCCGAATGAAACTGCAGTATTAGTAGTAGTACTGGTAGCAACAAAGTTCCATAAGCTGTTACAACCAGAGAATATCATTGAAATCCCATCATCTTCAACTGATGTATTGTTTCTATGAGTAGCTGAGAGCAAGCAATCAAGGGACTCAAGAGAGCTTGTTGTTGTTATTGTTGTTTTTGTAGCACCAGCCATGACTTGCGAGTGAACCGCCATGCCCATATCAGAAATTGAAGCTGATGATCTACTCAAAAAGGGAGAAGAGAAACGTACTTGTGTTAAACCATCTCTCCATTTCAGCATATCAAAGTTTGAGGCAACGTTCACTGAATCTGATGCAGCAGGAAATAGTGTTTGTGGAACCATTTCAGATACTCTATCTGAATCTGGTCTTATATGGAATTGTTGAATTGGATTAATGAAGATATCTTCTGGCAGATTCATCTTGTCACCATAAATGGAAGAATCTGAGTTGGAAATTAAGAAACTGTCTTCCACTTCTGAGCTATCCCATCCCAAGCCACCATCCATGGCTGAAACCTTTTATTTTCTGAGCCAAGATAAAAGGATAAAATAACTTCAACAGTTAGTCCAAGGATTGAAAGAAACAATAGTTGATGGAACTTTGAGTAAAACTACATACCAGAAAAGTAGCCAACAAATGAAGAATATTTTCTGCAGTTCTTCTAACAGAGAAAAATTTCGATCAAACCAAACCCTCTCTAATTAGTTCGTAATCGTGAAGAAAAACCACTGCTAGCTAGCATCAGTCAATGCAACTGAATGAAAAAAAAACGAAAACAATTGTAGAAATTGCCCCAACAAAACTATAAACATGAAAGTATAAACAAAGTCTATATGCAAAGAGTTAAGGGAATTAGATATTTCACCTACCTTGACCTATTCTGGAGTAAAACACTAAAATGGTTGACACAGTAATATGTTTAAAAAGCATATGCTTGTTTATATAGATAGGAAGAATAATAGAATATTATAAAAGTATAATATATATATATAATATATGAAAAAAGGAGAGGGTATCTTATATAAATAAATTCATAATTAATATGAAAAAAAAGGAGAGGGTATCTTAGTATAAAATATAATTTCATAAGTTGAAAAGATGTATAATCAATAATGTGGGGTTCGAAAAAGATAAGGTTTTTTTTTGGGTCTGTTTGGTGGGTGTGTAAGAGTATATATTTCTGCAGATAGGGAGCATTAGAGAAGCATATTTCAATCTCAACTATATAGTTTATACATATATTTTTAGTGGGGAAATGATCTGACATCCTTTTGGTTGCTTATGTAAATTCCATGCGCATCATGACTTTCAGGAAAAAGAAGAAAGAAAACTGCAGTCAAAACAATAATCTTTTAACAGGATTGCTTTCTCTTTCTAAAAGCTTTACATTAATCATAGTTTTAATCATGACTGATCCCAGTTTCATTCTCACTAAATTAAGCTGTACTCAAATTTCAACATTTCTGCACAATTTCATCATTAAACAGGGGGTTGAAACTTGAAAAAGTAACGGCAGTGACATTTCTTAGGATTGATTGCAAATTTGAATAAACAAGAGTAGTGGGGGACTGTCACAAGGTTAAGAACAATTGAAAAAGATAAATTTGCAGTCTAAAAGTAAAGGGTAGTCAGAGGATGATAGGAAGAAGATAACAGATAGAGAAAGCAAGCTAAGCAAGCTTTTGTCTCTTCAACATCCAATAACCTTAAATCTACACATACATACATTTCTCTCCTTTTTCTTTTCACTTTTATAAAAAATACAGATAGTTATACTTGCTAGAAGGAAAGGAAAGAAAGATAAAAAAAGAGAGGGTTTAAGAGTGGACTCCCTAGCATTGCTTTTATATGCTATGCCACCTTTCCCTTGCATATACGTTTACTATCTATTTTTTTCCTTCACCAAGTCAGATAACGAGTGGGAATTTATATATATGTATATGTATGTTATATATTGAGGGCATCAAATGAGGTTTTACTTGAAAGAACCCAAATTGGAGTTGGTCTTAAATCCTAGAGTGGTGAGTTTGACACTTGAACGTGATTTCTAATATCACAATTATGGAACTATGACCTTATTGAAAGATATATGTAAGTTGTCTCGAACTTTAATTGGTGGACTTGGATCTTCATCAAAAATTACAGTGCCACCTATTGTAAAACAAAAATACTAATTAATTAGAAAAAACAAATATGAATGGGAAAACCTTGAGTAAGATGACATAACGCAGCAGTAATTTAATACTTATTCAATTGTAAATAATATTATAATAATTAATTTGAAATTGAAAGTAGTCCAAAGTAGCTTTCGGACTTCAAGAAAAAATTCGAAGGATAAAAGATTGCTAAAGGATATGGTTTTTCCTTAAATTGTCATATAAATTACATTTAGTATTTAAACTGTCAAGCTGATTAAAGACATGCCATTAATCATGCCGACGAAAAGTTGATCATGCCGGCAAGAGTTGAAAGAAATGTAGGTCATCAAGTATTGTCAATCGGAAAGAAATTTTCATGAACCCTTTCCACCATATACCAATAGCCCAATCAATTAAATGAATACACATCAATTTTTCCATGTCATATATAAACAAGGATTCTATTTTTCAAATCAATTTCTTCATTAATACATATCAAATTAAACTTAAATTTAGGGGTTGTAATTAGAATCTTCATTAATGTTCTTTCTTCTCCACTCACAAGACAATCTTTTCTCATAATCTTAGTTACTTTAGTCATCTTGTCGTTGCAATATCGAGATGAAATGCAGGCGTTACGGTGTTGTTTAAGCGGGACAAAAATCTATTTTATTTTTATATTTTTCTTTTGGTTTGTTTTGTGGTTTTGTGAGACAATGAAGAATCTTAAAAAAAGTTCTTACAACCTTGAAAAAAGACCTTATCAATTTAGGAGATGATCTTCGATTTGAAGATAATGCATATCAAATATGACTCACTTGAATATTAAAGTTGAGAGAAAAACAGTTCAAAGTTGTGAATTTTATGTGTAAACAAATTTAGTGGGTAGCTGAATACAAACAAGCAAAGAAGGAAAGGTGGGAATTAAGGGGTTGGTTAGAAAATGTTAGGTGGTTGGAGTGGCGGCCGAGTGTTGCCATTTAAAGCAATGAAACTAAGGTGTGGAGGGAGTATGTATTGTTAAGCGTTGAGAGGGTTGATCGATTGGAAATTCCCAGTGAAGTGATGGCTTGGAGACAAAGATGCCAGAGAACAGATAAGTGTGCTTCAAAGGTTCCAAGCAACTAAGAGAAAGTAGGAGAAAGAAGATGTTTTGTGAGTGGGAAAGAAAAACGATAATGAGATTCTAAAAATAAATTTTAAATTTAAGGTTAATTTGATATGTATTAATGAAGAAATTGATTGGAAAATAGAATCTCTATATAT